CATTGATTTTATTCAACAGTTGGTTAGCATCCAAGTCATCATGGTCTGCATTCTCCTGAGGAATGCCAACTTTGTTGTTGAAATAAGTGGAGAAGGCACTTGAAGTCCCAGAGGGAGTCTGGTCTCCCTTCCGCGCAGGCACAACAGGTGGCTGCCGCAGTTGGAAGTCCTTAAACATTTCTTTCACTTCCTTGACATCTTTATCCCCAAGTGGGTCCAAGGCAGTGAAGGCATCACTGGAGATGTCCTTGGGAGGGCCAGTTCTGGGAGGCGGCTGAGGAGGGGTGACCAGAAGAGAGGACAGCGTAGAAGGGGGCTGAGTGGACATAGCAGGAGATGGAAAAATATTGCTCTGAAAAGGATTCCCCAGAGGGCTTGTTGACGGCCAAGTATTGGGTGCCACAGATGCAGAAGGGCCCCAAATGGCAGGTGCAGGAGGGGAAGTTGCGGCTGCAAAGGATGAAGGCTGGTTCCAACCTGGAACAGTTGGGCTTGTACCAAAAATGATAGGCTGACCGAAACCTGAAGATTGAGCACCCATCATGGCTCCGGGGACCACAGCAGTGGACTGATTGAAGACCAGAGGTGTAGGGCTCCAAGGTCCTGCCTGAGGGAGTGTGGCTGGGCCACCACCTGAAGGAAGAAGGAGAAAGTGGGTCTCAGGAGATGAGCTTAGAAAGGAAAGGATTCCTGAGTTTCAGAAAGCACAACTCTCCAGGGGGCATTCAGTGAGCATTCAGTGGCTGCAAGCAGCCCCAAGGCTCATCTGGGAAGAACAAAAGCTCTGAAAGATTAAATCTCTCTAAAGGTTAAGTAGCTTCTACCACATAGCTGGCAGTATAGTTGTTTGCATTCGGAAGCCCACATTCTACCAGGCCTTTTTAACTTTCCTCATTAAAAAGGTAATGTAGGCCCCGTAAGGACCTACTCATGAAGAAAATGAGCCCTTATCTTACAGACTCCAGTTGTTTGATACACCTCACACAAGGAGAACAGAGCCTGTCACTAGCGGGACCTTCACTCGTTGAATAAATACATTTATGTATACAAACCACACAGATTATGAAGTAGTTAATTGAGATAATCTGTTGGGCTTTCTGAGTCATGGATTTGATCTTTTCATTTGGCAGCTGACTTGTGTCTGGAGTCTTATGAAAACCAGTGATCACACATGTGCATACAGCCTCAACATGCTGACATCCTGAAGAAACCAGTTCAAAGTTTCCTCGCTTTTTAATGCTGCCAAGGTTGACACAGCTATATAAAAGGAAGATAAAGTTTGGTCGATGCCAAGATAGTTTTAGACTTTTATATACAAAAATGGAGGAAAGGCTGTTATCCTGGGAGGGCTGTTTCAAATAAAGTGCTTCCTGCCATGTGTCACTCACTAAACCTTGCCAGAAGTTAGAACAGAGTGTTTAAAAGAGGAAGGGAGGGAGAGAGGACAAGGAAAACAAAAACCTCCCGAGATAAGCAACGGCCTGTGATGGGGCCTCTGACCTCAGTGGGTGAATGGCTCCATCTCTTGCATCCTTGCTGTGCTCACGGGGAATTAGTTACATCACTAGAATCCAGGTGCCTTCAATGACTGTCCCCCTCTTCTGGGGAAGCTCATTCCCTGCATCTTGTTCTAATCTATAGGACATTTTCCCCCTGCCTCTTGCCAACTGTAATAATGGTTCAGTTAAACTGTCACCACTAATAAAAACCCTAAATCCAACCTCATACCTATTCACAGATGATGTTCTACCTTTGAATCCTATTTGCTTTGAGCTGAAGTTTTCAAAGCCAACTAAGAAAGGCCTTCAAACTTAGGTTGTTTTTTGTTTCCAGAGTGAGAAATACTTTAAAAATGGTGTTTATGGGTGATGTAGCATGCTATAATATCTTAGAGGTCCTCAGGGTGGGAGACTGGTGTCACTTGATTCCACTGTATTATTAGGAACACTGGCCATCTGGCCACAAATGCCTTTGGTATCCTCAGAGAGAGTGGTGTGGTTTAGAAACCACTTGTTAAAGCGCTTACTTATCAACATGCTTATTTTGAAGGTGAGGAAACTGGGTACAAGAATGTTAACTAAAACTGGGAAGGTCACAGTCAATGACAATAGAGGCTGAACATCAGCCCCACTGGCTCTGAAGCCAGCATCCCATGCTCTCCTTCAGATTCTTGGCAGCAAGGCACAGCACTATTTTTTAATAATTAGTATGGTAATTCAAACTCTTACTTCATAGATACAGAAATTGGACCCCATTTACACTAAAGAATATATACCTTTCATAACAAATCAAGGGTAAAGTTCTCCTAGATTCTAAAAGTGGGTTTAATTTAAACAAAGTTATGGCTAGCATTCTAAAACAAGTTTATTTAAATTTTATTAACAGAAGCCAGATTGCACAACCCACTGGATAGGCAAAAACTAAAAAGAGAGAGAGAGAGAGGAGAATTTGATTATCTTTCACGCTGTACTATTTGCCTTCCCTTAGGAAAACGCATGGCTTTAGTTACAGATCATATTAGTGAGAATGATGTTTGTAAAAGAGAAAAATGTTTTATTTGCCAAAAATTAAAGACTTTCCTACTGTATACTTATGCCGGCCTTCATACCCACTAACCAGATTCTGTACATTTTGTTTCAAAACAGTTAGGGGCCAGTTGGAGAAAGCAGGGCAAAGACTAGGAGAAAAGGGAACACGGGTATAAAATATCAATTTCATTACCTTCTGAAGCTAGATTAAAACACAGGGCAGCACATCAAAGCTGAGGGCTCAGCTTTCTACAATACCCTCTCCCCACCCCCCGTTCTCCAGGGGAGGCAGTTCCCCAGCTGGGTCTAGCGGAAGCCAGACCTACAACCTTCCACGCCTTGGCTAAGGATCCCTGCGAGTGGACAGGGACTATACTGTAGAGCTCAGTTTGAGTTCCATGTCTAAACTTGGAAGAGTCATCAGTATTCTGCAGTTGTATAGCCCAAGGCCTCGACAGGGGCATCTAGCCAAAAAGCTTCACTTCGTCTGAATAAATTAACAGTTATAGGGTCCAGCTGTATTTTCAGGCTGACTTGTTAAATATTGGCTGTAAAAATTCTTCAGGGCATTGATGTTAGATACAAAGCTCTGTGATGTGATTTAGTTGCAGACACTGCATTGCAAGGTCTCTGCTTTCCTGTGAGGAAAGGCACCAAGCAGCTCCACTTGGAGGTGCAGGGGGAAAAAATGGAATACAGAAACCCCCAAGAGATGTAGGGTGTCTGGAGAGTCTCTTGATGGCATAAATCTGAGTGGAGACCTGGGACAATCTGGCTTGTCATGTCCAAGTGGATATCAGCCACTCAGTAGTTGGGTAACACCCCCTTCCCCTTTTGCCACCCTATTCTAGATATGCTTGAGCAGATTTCTTGTAAAAGAATCAAAATATTTTCCTTTGAAGGAAAATAGCACAGACAAAAAACATTAGAATCCTGATGACTGACTCTGCAGGAGGCAGAGAAAACCAAGATCCCTGGTCACATTTTACCAAAGGGGAGGAGTGTCCTTCTTCATCTATAATCCTCCACCTCCCATGCCAAAGTCTATTTGGAGTTTGCAGAGGTGCCAAGAAGCTGCAAGACAGAGTCCAAAGCAGGACAGCAAAGACTATTGCTAGGGTTTCTGAAAACTCTACCACAGTCTAAAAAGAACTAGTGGTTATGGATGAAGAGCCAGCACCTCCTCATTGTCCTGCCAGAGTAGTCAGTGGCTCGCTGGAGCTAAGGACACCTTCAGGGAGAAGGGCACCAAGGTCTCTGATGAGATTCCATCTCTTACCTTATCTCTGGGCTCTTTTCAACTTCAGCTTTTTAGTCCTTATGTTCTAACTATAGTGAGACATTCAAGCCAGCCAAAATACTGGCAAACGGCTGCTACCAGGGTGGATGCCCAGCCCACTCCTACCACATGGCTTGGAACAGAACTGGGCTTAGAACCTAGGACTTCAATTCTGTGACTTATACTTGCTTCACACTTAGTTATCAAAGATGGATATTAGTATGACAGGGGACAGCCCCTTTGAACCACTATACTAAATGACATGGAAGATCTGCTTGCTGCTATTTTTTCCAGCACTGATGACAGACAGAACCCTTTGCACCACTGAAGCAGGTATGAGCTTCAGAATCCCTTATAACTGTCTCCCAGGAAGTCATTACCAGTTGGTTCAGGTAGGTGCAATGCTGAAAATGGATTTCTTGTCCGAGGCAAATTCCAGTTGCAAGTCAAGAGGACCAAAGGCAGCTGGAGAGGTACAGGAGTGAGAGTGGGAGCAGGGCTCTGCAGTAGCTTAGATCTCATGCCTACGGAACCTTCCTGGATACGAAGCAGCTTCCCCTACACAGCATCATTTTATGAGGCAAAGCAGCAGAGCCACACCTAACTCTATCTCCAGATACCTACCTAGGCCTGCAAGGGGCCCCACGGGGGCAGGAGCACTGGTTTTGAAGAGATCCAGAGGGTTGGTCTGCATGGTTGCAGACTGTCCTGTGGGTGACATCTGGACTGGAGGTTCTGAGACGGGAGGAGTGAAGATGTCTGATGCAAGCAAGTCATTGGCTGGAGACTGACAAGACAGGCAAGGAGGGAAAAGCGTTAGTTACTCAGTGAAATGCAACTTTGTTCTGCCTCCTATGCTTCACCCAAATTGGAGAGCCACAAAAAAGACTTTTTTCTTCCTGATAAACAAGTACTACTACTACTACCAAAAAAAAAAGACATTCAAAAAAATCCTGCAATGGACACACCATTGGGTTGGGTCTTAGTGACTCTTACAACTAAGAACTTGCAAAGTGAATCCATTTTGCTCATTTACAAATTTGTATTGATGTGGTCTCCTTAGCAGCTAGAAGCTTGAAGCTGGGAAAGACAGGGTATCTATAAATAAGTATCCTGAATATTTTTGAGTGTTCCATTGGATTTAAACAGGCTACTTAGAAATGATACGATGCTAATCACTAGGCCAGAGGGCATATTCCTATGAGAGTTCCAAAAAGATACCTATCAAAGCTGCATTTTGAATTGCTTTTGAGTGAAGCTCACATTAATAGCAGTAGTAGTAAATAAATATGTAAGTTTCTTCTGTGACAATGGATTATGCAGTCAGCAGTTAAAAGAGGCGACAAGCTCTATGATTTTTCACCACCACCTTGACGTTAATGCAACAATCTGAGAGTGCCGGGCGTGTATTAGTGTGGGGAAGGTCCAAAGGGAATCACAAGAACTCTTGCCCTCCCGTCCCAGAACAAGACAATCAAACTTACCAGAGGTACAGAAGCATAGCAGCATTAAAAATGGAAAAACTTGTGTTTAGTTTAATCGTAAGTGACAAGACATGCAAACGGAAAGCAGGGTGTGACAGACACCACCGAGAAGCTTCAGGAGGGTGGCAATTAGAGGAAAGTACTTTGCAGGACCGATGAGCCTTATCCCACCTGCTAGTTCACAGCCACACGGGGAATTATGAGAGCAGCAGGAAAGAGAGCTTGCGTCACACCACCCTTTGGTACCGAGCATGCACTCTGCTAACGGATATGTGGAGAAGACAATTCACCTTAGCAGTCCTTCTGCCTCTTCCCGGTTTGGTAGTTTGTGGAGGTGGGATAATGGCTATGGAGTCATGTGGTGAGGACTGGACAGAGCTTTCCAAGTCCTGCTTTACGCCATTCGGTACAGACAGTCCTTTGGGAGGGCTTCCCACAAAAGGGTTCGGGGAGGATTTGACATGGAAGCCGTTCTGTTCTCTTTCAGATACCCCGTTTTGAGTTCTCACTGCTGGCTGGGTTTGCGTACTCGAAAAGGGCCACGGGCCTGCCTGCGCTTCCTGTTTGCCAGTCCGGTTAGAGATCTGGTCAAATTGCTGACCAAAATAATCAGCATCACCATTCTGGGGCCCATTACTCAAGGAAGCAGATAAGCTGCTCAAATTCTCTTTCTTCTGATCTGGAGATTTGAGAGAATCAAACGAAGAGGGTGTCGATTGGTCTGGCTGTGCGAAAGGATCGTCACGGAAAGGATCAGGATTAGGGGTGGGAAAGAAGTTGAGATTGGCAGAAAAGGTGTTTTCAGGCAAGAAAGATGCCTGAGGCTTTGGTCGAGGAAGAGAGCAGGAAGTGGTGCCATTTGTTAAGAACGGATTTTCTCTTAAAGAATTCTGATTGGTGACGATTTCAGAGTTTAGATCCACTAACAGGATATCTTTGCTTTCCTATCACATTTGGAAAGAAAAAAAAAAAAGCAAGTGTTAGTTCTTATGTTGTGACTTCAAATGAGAAAACTACAAAAGATGACCAGGATTTTCAAAAGTCCCATTCGAGTGTGGTCCAGACAAACCAACCAGTTGATGTTACCACCACCCACCAACTCCTCAAGTGCATGACTCTCTAGCTATGTACTAGTACTAGGTCTTCCCTGTCCCTGCCTCAGTCCATGCTCTTTTAAGTCTCCACTTTATTAAGTGAAATCTTACTGTTTATACCATATCTCCACTTGCCCTGGTTCACACATACAGACTGTCTGAGTTCATTATCAGCACTGTTTCAATTCATGCCTTTGAGTCTTAAAGGGAATTGATTGCAAATCACTCAAAATGATTATCAATGCATGTTCAGTTTGAAAGCAAGTGACCTCAGAAGCCTAGCCCAGCTTCTGACCTGATGTACATACAGTCCCCTCTGTGTATCCCCAGAGTCATCACCTGTCTAAGTGTGCAAATTCATTGGCTAATATGTTCATATCTTATAGCTCTAGATATGATGAGATTTCGGGTCAAATACATGTCCCTATATATAACCAGTCAAGTTCGTTCCTTTGGCAGGGGAGGGGAAAGATTTTGCTCTATATCACAGCCTGCAGGTATGCCTTGCTAAATATTTAGGCCTCTTATTGAAGGTTCTGGCTAAGGAGGAGCTCTTGCTCTTATCATCCCACTCTCTCTAGTGGATATACGTATCCTTTTTGTCTATGACCTACAAAAATGACACTCAAAATACTGATGTAATCTTATCTATCACACATTAAGCGCTCATTTGTGCATCTTCTTATAATGCCGCTTAGCACTGTCCTTTGTAATCTCATCCATTTAGTGATTAAAGTCAACCATTAACTAATACACAGTTAGTGTGTATTCCCCCCTTATCTGGGGGGAATACGTTCTAAGGCCCCCAGTGGATGCTTGTAACAAGATAGTAGCAAACCCTGCAAATCCTGTGTTTTTTCTTCTTCATTCATACCTATGACAAAGTTTAATTTATAAGTTAGGGACAGTAAGAGATTAGCAACAATAATAAAGTAGAAAATTATAACAATATACTATAATACAAGTTATGTGAATGTGTTCTTTTTTTCCCCTCCTCTCTCTCAAGATATGATGACTTATTGCACTGATTGCCATTAACCGCAGGTAACTGCAACCTTAGAGAGTAAACCCTACAAATAAAAGAGCACTGCTATATAAGGTAAAGTGTTTTAAAGAGTTAATTTGGGCTTGGTGCCTGTAGCTCAGCGGCTAGGGCGTCAGCCACATACACTAGAGCGGGTGGGTTCGAATCCAGCCTGGGCCTGCCAAACAACAATGATAACTACAACCAAAAAATAGCTGGGTATTGTGGCAGGTACCTGTAGTCCCAGCTACTTGGGAGGCTGAGGCAAGAGAATTGCTTAAGCTTAGAGGTTGCTGTGAGCTGTGATCCCTCGGCATTCTACCGAGGGCGACATAGTGAGACTCTGTCTAAAAAACAAAACAAAACAAAAAAAAGTGGCACCCGTAGCTCAGTGAGTAGGGTGCCAACCACATACACGGAGACTGGAGGGTTTGAGCCTCGCCTGGGCCTACTGAACAACAATGACAACTGCAACTAAAAAATAGCTGGGCTCTATGGCAGGTGTCTATAGTCCCAGCTACCTGAGAGGCTGAGGCAACAGAATAGCTTAAGTCCAAGAGTTTGAGATTGCTGTGAGTTGTGACTCCACAACACTGTACCAAAGGCAGACATATTGGAAAAAGAAAAGTTCGTTTGAAAAATATACCAAATGTATAGCTCTACTAATTCTATTTCTTCTCTATATCATTTCTCTGGTATGTTAATTTTTTTTGATCAATTGTTTGATAAAAAAATCCTTCTCAGCAAAAAAGCAGCAAATATGATGAATATGGCATGTCTTTATTCCAGTTGGTGACATGATTAATTATGACTCACTCTGAGATAGAGCTTTCATACTGACATCCCTTCCTTCTGACTATCTTTGTTCAATTAAACACTGAACTATGAAACTTTGAAACTAGTAAGTATAAAAGGGGGTCAGATAGGTCTCCTTGGATTTTAAAGAAAAGAACAAAATTTTAGAAGGTTTATGTCTTATGTCATGACTGTAGAAGAGATAACAAAATCAGACCTACATGGTATGCTATATTTTGGCTTCCTTTATTGTGAGGTATCAAAACACAATTTTTCTTAAAGCCAGATTTTCTCTTTATAACCAGAAGAATTTGTCACAAGAGCTTATAATTAAAAAAAAAAATTTAATCAAAGAAATGGATTGGAAGACCTTTTAATATAGGGAATTTTTAGATAATCAAAGGTAGGAGAAAATATATTATAAAATCTTGTGATTTCATCATTTATTCATTTATTATGAGCCACCTCGGGGTTAGAACAGTTGGTTTTCACAGCTGGTAGAGTTCTCCTTTTCAAATACTTCAGAAGAAGTTCTTAGGACACCAAACAGGAGCCACAAAGTTAGACTTCTGAATAGTCACCCTATAAGTAAAATGTATAAGGCTCTCTTCAGGTTGGGTTTCTTGTTAATCCAAGATTAAGAGTGTAGTTCGTAGCCTACCACTCAGAAAGCAAAAGACTCCTCATCTACCCTCTCGTTCAGAGAGTTATTAATTTCTGTTGGGCTGTCAACCCAACATCCAGACATCCATCTGGCCACCGTGTCAGCACCTGAGAGGCAGGCACTCGAGGAATGAAAGTGAGTTACAATCTCTGCTCTTAAAGAACTCTGGTAAGAGGTGGGAGGCAGAATGCAGGAAATCCAAAGGCATCTGCGTGAAACAATGTTCATAACACTGAGTTCCATGGCTTACTGCTTCTCTTAACATTACCCAGCCATTCTAACCAGCCAAATTGAAGACTTCCCTGCTCAAAGCCTTTAGTATCTTCTTGCTACTTCCTGTATTAAAATAAACTCTTTAGGCTGAGTTCCAAACAAATCATGATAGGACTCAATTTGTTTTAGCTGAACTACTATCTATTTTTCTACTCACCTCTAAGGTCCAATATAAATTCCTATTTTTACAAAGCCTTTTCCCATTGATCTTTCAATCCCCATTTTACCTGTGTTCATTCCATGGCATTTTATGGGGGTATATACACAAGTGTATATGGGGGTATATACACATGTATATATATACATGACACCTATATAAATCTGTACCCTGATCTCACCATTTGCATCAGATTTAATCCCCTTGATGGTAGATCATGCCTTGTGTTTTTCTTATAACTGTGTTTTCAGATTCCAATTTTCAAGTTTTAAAGTCCAAGAGCATTTTTATGCTTTTTCTTTTTTTGAGATGTGTTATGGAAACATAATGCTTAAGTGGTTTTTCCGAAAACATCGTGTTCTAAAGGATGCCACTTAATTTGCCATAAGAACATTATTTGAAATGCATAAAACTTTTCTGTATATTCGGGGGATGACAGCCATCCAGAACCACTAATAAAGCCTAGGTAATTCTCTCTTCACATCTTTCAGAGCAACTGTTATAAGAGTTAGATATTTTTAAACATGCTGGTTTTACTGGATAGGGATAAATCTATTTTGTCTCCTATGAATAAAAAGAGTCAATATGTAAGAGCATGTTGTCAAAGTGTCACCAGGACATAACATAATTAGCCCTGCTAGCTTTCTCTTACTTAACATGGATCATTTACTTTGAAAGTATTTATTACTTTAATTTATTATTAGTTTAATCAAAACTTGAATTTCTATAAATAAAAAAAATTCTTAGACTACATGAGATCCAATACAAATGAAACTCAAGAGTACCCATGCTGTTTTTCATTTCCTTTCCCAGAGCTTTCTAGACATCTATAAAAGCAGATTAAATGGTCAGTGCTTGCTTGCCTATCCCACCAGAATGGAATTCCACTTTGTATCTGAGTGCTTTACTCTTTTTCAACACACTTGTGTGCATATCAGTTATACTTGGGAAGTAGGCTGTTCAGATGTACCAGTTTGCTTTGGGGAGATGGCTGATGATGGAGAAGAGAGCAAAGCTGCTTGGGAATCAAAAGAATCTCAGAGCTAATATGATGAACCTTTCAGGATAATCTAATCCAGTATTCCAAAAAAGGTTATCCTCACAATGGTAACAAACATGAAGAATAAAAAGTTCGATAGCCAGGTGAGTTAGGACCTGTTTTAACAGGCTTCTCTGTTAGGAGCTGTTCAGGGCTTTTAAAATATTACTGCTTTGTGCTTTGTGATCCTCACAGGGCTGGGGTCAGAGAGGAGTGCACACAGCCCTGTACCACTCCATCTCACTCGGAAGTTTTACGCAGTAAGGATTCACAGGGCTGATACTCTCTGCAATACTCTGGGAAGAGAGAATCTTACCCAATTTTTGATCTGCTCTTTGAATTCCTGTGACTTTCTTGGTCATATAATTTTGCATGATAATTTCCTGACATAAGAAACTCCTATGTAGACATTTTCCCCATTGTTCTAGATTGATTCTCTTATCTAGTTACTGCTTCCTCATCTTTCATTTTCAAGTTGAGAAACTCATTTCCTCAGAAGTACCACTCAACCTCTAAACTCGATAAATATCCTGTAATTCATATCAGTAAATTAGTGTTGTGATAATTTTTTCTGTTGATCTCCCTGATAGACAGCAAATTCTGTGACCATAGATTCTTACTCACTGCAGTACCTTCAGCAGATACTGAAGAAATTATTAAGTAAATAACATTAGGAGTTGTAAGAAGTCATTCGAAATTATACTGATCATTTTCACCTGAGGCTTATTTTGGAAGGTCTGAAGATTTGAGTATAACCCTTGAATCTGGACCTCTTTCCTGGATAAATCAGGTTTCTGTAAGAATATTGCTCCATTTTCACAGAGTTGTTACCAATAAATTAGTATTGAAAAGACTTGATATACTATAACAACCTTTAAAGAATGAGCAATACTTTTTTTTTTTTTTTTTTTTTGGGACATGTCTCATTTTGTCACCCTTGGTAGAGTTATGTGGCATCATAACTCACAGCAACTTCAAACTATTGGGC